ATGGGCACAAGTTGATGGAGAGGAGGTATAGATTGGACATCCGCAAGAACTACTTCACAGTTAGGGCGGCTAGGAGCTGGAACCAACTTCCAAGGGAAGTGGTGCTGGCCCCTACCCTGGGGGTCTTTAAGAAGAGGCTGGATGCCTACCTGGCTGGACTCATTTGAGTCCTGTTTCTTGTTTTTGGGGTTTTTGTTGTTCTCCCGCCCTGGCGGGGGGTCAGGCTAGAAGATCTACTAGGTCCCTTCCGACCCTTAATCTATGAAACTATGAAATTATGAATTATCTCAAAAAGCTTGCCCAGGATCAAGGTAAGACTAACTGGCCTATAGTTCCCCAGGTCCTCCTTCCTTCCTTTTTTGAAGATGGGAACCACATTGGCCTTCTTCCAGTGTTCTGGCACCACACCAGAGTACCATGAGTGCTCGTAAAGCCGTGCCAGGGGTCCCGCAATGATGAGGCATTTTAATTTTAGAACCACAGATTTGACCTTGCCATGGTGACATTCCCAAATCAGTTCTTGTAATATTTTACACTTGTCTTTTTTTTTTTTTCCAATGTGACTTAAGAAACATTTGTACTTGTACTCTGAGGATCAAAAAATGTGTTACAAATTCAAATTCTTCCACTGGAAGTATCCCAACTCTTTGGTGGTCATAAGTGTGATCCCCTGCTTACAGATGTGGAGGCTGATTCCCCAGGGAGAGGTAATTTGCCAAAAGGACACAAGGTGAGTAGACAGGAGAGCTGGAAATAAAAAAAAACAAACAAAAAAACCCAAGAAACAGGAGTCCTGACTCCCAGCCCCTTCTCTCTAAATGTTTTCTGTCTATAAACGAAATCTCTTAAATGGTGCTCTTAACTATGCTGAAACTTGTAAGGCCAAAAACCTGTCTTCCATTACTCTAGAAGCTGCTTTATACTTTTAGAGCAACTGGATTAGTGATGAGACATCTCCTCATGCTCTGACCAATGTCACAGTTCATATTTTATCCAGATTTATGTAATGGGAGTTAGGAACCTCTTCTGCATTTCCTGCCTATGGTAGTTAAGACTGTTGCCATCTGCTTAATCCCTTCAGTGACTTTATAATATGTTTTGTGTCATCAGAACTGTTGATATCTAGTCATTTCCTGCAGTGGTGTCTCCAACTGCACTCATTGTTTCCTTGTGCTCAAATGTTTGCATTTACCACTTGCATGAGTTATGACTTGTTTGTGTGCACAAAACCAAACCTAGGAGCATGGGTGTATCAGAGGAGAAAGTTATGTGACGAACCTATACAAAGGAATCCACAGACCTGCAAGCTCCAGAGCTGGACTTTTTCTCTGGCAGCACAGAAGAGTGATTTAGCAGGTGAGTCAAATGAGGCAAGATGTATAATCATATAGATCTGCCAACCAAATTCCTGCATGGCAGGTGGCAGCCATGGTCATGAAGTCTAATGGAGCCCAGAAGCTGCTATAATGGTTGCAATATGGCTCCACTACCACTCTGTAACTGGATAGGGAGAATTCCTCCCTTTGTCACAGGGAGCACCCTGCTCACATCTGTGGTGTTCAGGCTGCAGAAACAACGTTGATTCTCAGTAACAAACAGTAATTTCACAAACAGTTTTCCATTTAACTAGTTCTGTAGGTTTAGATACCGAAATGGGAAGGCATATGGAAAGCTCCAGGCTGAGGACTATGGATGACATTATTTCTTGAACACAGTGGAACTTTCTACCATGAGGCGAAAGCACATTCAGCCAGATGGAGTGTTTTTGGTGCCAGCCCAAGACTGTGGAACAAACTCCCACAGGACCGTCATCAATCTTCCTGCTTCTGTCTTCAGGTACCAGGTATACTTTTGCAACTTGCCTTCTTAAATGTAGACATACAACTGTTGTCCAAAAAGCCCAGCCAAAAGAAAACACAAGGCTGTAAAATAATTTTCTTCTGGAGAAAGAATAAGAATAAAAAAAAATATGACTCATTCAGTCACATTGTTAACACAGTACGTGGATGGAAGATTCGAGGGTAGAATAATAACCTGTTCAGGATAAAAAAACCCACGTATGTTGGATAGTCCTGGATTAGGTTTCTGCTCACAACAAAAACTAGACTGGTCACTCAAACTCTGGTGGCCTCTTGGCTGCCTCAGCCCCAAGAGTGTGTGCCTGTGGTACAGTGCCCACTCGCCAGTCGGTCAGTACATTGGTAGCCTCAAACAGAGGTGATGCTTCTAGATGGAATAGGAATGTTTGTGACCTAAACTGGATCTAAATGGAGGGAGGAGTGGACTGAGGATAAATAGGGCACAGATCCAGCAAAATGCCGGCATTCCCCCGGGTCTGCTTCCTGAAAAAGCTCTCCCAGCCTCCCGTTTCTCTTCCTCCTACTGCCAAGCACTTTAATTTCCTTCTAAGTGAGGCTGCCCAGCCCGCCCCAGCAGACAAAGCTTGAACAGAGCATGACTGGCATTCTGACATCCCTCCTTGGTTTAGCTGAAAACAATTACATGATTCTTTTTTTTTTTTTTTTTTTTTTTTTTTTTTTTTTTTTTTTTTTATAGAAGGGCTGTATCTTTTTTAACTGCAGCTGGATTGAAACCTGAGCATTTTATTTTTGGTCACAATAAAGTGGGCCAAATTCCCCTGGGTAGAAATCCAGTGTAGTCAGTGGAGTTACCACTTGGCTGAATTGATGTAACATGCTTAGAACGTCCTTTGGGATTGTTCAGCTCTAAATATCAGGCAACTAGAAACACCTACAGTTGCCAAGCATTGTGATGTTTGGCACTGGCATGTGGAGCATCCCCATGGATTTTTTTTTAAACGAGTGAGGTCCCTTGTTAATAGTGTATCATTGTTTTCTTAGGTTTTGCCAGGCTTGTGAACTCCTGGATTAACTCTAAAAAGCCTGGGAACAAGCCGTGTTGTCAGAATGTCTTGCTCAAGTCAGGAATTTTATTCTAGCATCCTCAGCTTAGTGTCTATGGCTAGGGTAATAACTGGAGGAGGAAAGCATAGACTTCTTAAAACAAATTGTCTGTTATCTAAGAATTTCCTGGATTTTTCAACTTCTTTCTTTACACTTTGTTCTTGCCTTTTTAAAAAATCACTGTTTAAGTTCCAGTATTATTTATGGAAACCAAGCTGTTACAGTTTCCAGATCTTACAAAGACCTTTGTTTGCAGTTTCACTACCTGATATAAAGTCCTGGCTCAAATTAATCAGCTAAAAGGGAAAACCATGTTAGAAGTATTTAACTGTCTCGGACCAAAATCCTAGCAAAACCTTGCCCCTATTTTCACAGCACAAAGCAGCCAGAAAGCTGCTCCAAAAAGAAAATTGGAGACTCCTGATACAGGAAAATTCTTGGATGGCACAGAGCTAGTTACACCTTCTCATCATGTACACTCCCACTCTGCATGGAGGGTTGCAGGGCATACGGCAGAACTGTATTCCAACAAATCTTAAGCTAATGTAGCGGCCCCCGTGGGACCACAGCGGCTGGTAAAACTTTTAGAGACAACTTTAGGTGGCACCAAACTACCCTAGGGACAGTTTCAGCCACATCAGGATTGGGAGATCAGAAAAGCAGTGCTAATATGAACTCCATTTAGGATTAATCCCTACATATTATTTGACTATAATGAATTCATCCCTGGGCAATAAAGCCCTGAGATACTAGTTCACCACTACCCTTCTTCTTGTGTAGTCATTGGCATCTTGCTAAGTGGGTATAAAAGGCCACTATTAACATTTGCAGTTAATTATATCAGATGCAGGAACCTGCTGCTCCTATCTGGATACAACTTCACTAGCTTGAGACTCAAATCACAAAATGCCTCCTGCATGGCAATCCTCCATGAATCCCAACTAAGCTGTACAGAATTTTAAGTGTATTTTCTTAGGCCCTGTGAAAGGTCACTAAATAGCCAAATTGCATGCTTCTGATTGGGCTGTGTGATAGCAACTGCATCTTTGGATCTGGGGAGGAGGCCTGTTTCTCAGCTCTTACCAGACTCCTTAGAGCTTTCCCTGGGGATGACTTTAGATTCGCTATGAAATAATTAAATCAAAACATAACTATGAACCTATGGATCCAGGTTCTCCACACCCTAACACCTTCTGTTACCATTTACAAGTGCATCAAATGAGTGTAAAGTGGGCATAAAACGTTACTAACATATAATACTTAGTATGCACAGCTGTACATGACTGCACAAGGTGCTAGGCAGTGCTGAATCAGTCCCACGCTGTTTCTATAACTGATACCTCATCTGTTAACAGCTACGGGGTATAAATGCTTGGTGCCTTGAAGGAGAGAGGGAGGAGCGATAAGTCATCTACTCAGTCCCTTCTTTCATGTATAATCCCCTCTCCTCCTGCTTCACACACAGCTCAATGAGTGGGAGGTATACTTCCTTCCTACAGGTTTTTCGTCTAAAGTTGTCACAGAAAAGTGGTTTTCCCTTCTGGTGTTCAGCAAGAACCCAGTGTTAGACTCAAGGGGGATATAATCAAACATCCAGCCTGGGTCCATATTATGTAGATCTCTGAGAATTCCCACTGTCTGCTTTCAGCCTACCTAAATCAGGCTTTCATACTAGAATGGCAATGCTTGACTCCTGCTTCATACTGGTGTCAGTCCCTGTACAAGATGCAGGGCATCCATGAATCTGGCCCCTGGATTCTATCCTAGGCTTTGCCACTGACATGATTGTAGGATCTTGGGCAAGTTTCTTAACCATCCTTTGTCCTTGTGTGCAGGACTGGGGTCTGCTGACAGTGCTGTGTCAGTTAGGAGTGTGAAAAAACTACACTGGTAGTGGCCACAGGTGTCCAGATGTGGATGGAGGCAGCTTCGTAGGAGCTGGCAGAGCTCTGGTAGAAATTGTGACTGGCAAGGCAAGGGGATTGGGACTGAAGGAGGAGAGACTTGCATGGCCATTCCGGAGGCACAGAGTAGGCCTTTCTGAGCAAGAAGACTAAGACTAAGACTGGGGCTGTCCAGGTGAGGAGAACAGGACAAAGGAGCTGGGAGCTGGAAAGGTGACAGTTTGGAAGGGACAGGACAAGTGGAGTTGAGTTTGGAGGAAATGGGCGGAAGGGTCTTTGCCTACTAGGGCATGTTCTCTTCTAGAGTGTAAATTGGAGCCCAGGATTCCTGTGCTGTGCCATTCCCCCGCAGTCAGGACATGTCTCTGAAACAACGGCAGTGTGTCGAAGTCTGTCCCAGAGCTGGTCCACTCTAGAAAACGACAGCCTGCTACTTACTGTGAGTTATTCCAGTGGCACAGCTCTGTGCAACAGAATTAAAGGTTGCAAATCTTCTGATGGTCCAAATCAGCGTTGGAGGGATGCCACACAGGGAATTGACTGGTTTCTTAGTTGTTGTTTTTTTAAGTCTAGAGACGTAAATCTACACATGCACAAACTGCAGTAAAAATTGTTCAGATTACATATTTTAACTAAAAAGCTAGAAAATGTCAGAACTGAGACTAGAGTCCTATGGCAAAACAGCATAAGATTATGTGCTTGGTAACTGCAGACTGTCTCAATGCATATAAATGAAGGAAATGAATTAAGGTTGCACAGGCCACCTTACTTTTGGTGTTTCCTAACAACTGACTGACGTTGTTAAGATTGCAATGTTCTTTCAACCTAGGGCTGCATTTGTCCGTGTTGTAATGGCACTCCACCAAGAACAAATTTGGTTCACAATAGCTGGTTTCTTCTCATGCCACTATATCCAGTTCCATTGCTTCTCAAGTGTGAAAGCTGATTTAGGGTGTCACTTTGTGAGTAGGCAGTAGGTTACTTTGTCAGATGCCCTGAAAGAAGAAATTGGTGACGCACTAATTCACCTTTCCTTTGGGTCATATGGGCATGGGATATATCCATTTGACCTTGAACAGATGATCTTTGTTTAGTCCTCTAGAGGAAGAAGGGAAAACCTACGTTCCCTGTCAATGTGTCCAGAGGAGGAAAATTCCTTTTTGTAACCGTCATGTAATGAAGAAAGTACATGCGTCACCTGCACTATATTCTTATTTTGCGATACAAATGTGGTTATAAACTGATTGTTCTGCTCCTGCTTCCTCAATACAAAAGCTTCGCAATGATGATAGGTTGCCTTTCCCTGTCACTGCAATTCCTGGATCTCAAAGTACTCAAACAAGTAAACTTTGGGATCTCCTGGTGAGGTAAGTATTGGCGCCATTAATTAGAAGTGAAATCAAGGCACAGGGAGTGACTTATGAAAGTCACACAAGTCTGTGGCAAGCTTGAGGAGGGAACCCAAAGTCCTTGAATCTCATCAGGTTAGGCCTATGCTGTGTCTCTGATGCGTCTTGGGAGGAAAGCTTCTGGGACTGCCCTCCACCTCTCCTACTCACATGTATAAGACCTGGCAATGTCTCAAAAGAGGCCTCACTGCCAAATCTCTGTGTTTGGCAGTTGAGAGTGGAAGCAAGTGGGCAGGGTGTGTTCAGGTGAGTCCCTCCCTCCCTCCCTACATGTGCAGGATTGTGGAATTGAAATGTGCATCTATGTTGTGCATTAACTACTGACCTTTGCTCCCTCTTTCTAGCACCACGTGCCCATTCTGTTATGAGAACAAACAAAAGGGTATACACCGCACCAAGCAGTCCCTGGCATATATACATACTACACAACTCAACTAACCTACCTCCAGATCAGGAGTCACAGAAAACTATGTTGAAGATACCAGGAGCATAAGTGTGTTAGTACTAGGAAATCCTGAGTGCCCCAGTTGAGAGGTTAAGAATGGTAATTGTTTATATTAGGTATTTATGATTCCAGTTTCACTTCCTTATAACACTATGGGTCACTGAATTAATAGGGATGAGTGCCTGACCCCTTAATACCTTCCAAACTCTTTACAATTCATCTCTCTCTCTTTTTTTTTTTACAGTGAAGCTTATAGTGAAGAACTGGTTGTGCAGCTACGCAGTGTCCAGTGAGTCTCAGCCAGAACACTACATTGCTTCCAGTAACTTTCCAGGGATCTCCCCACAGATTTATGAAGGTAACAACTAAAGTAGAAACTGCCCCAGAAAGTTCATTCACAATTTTGCACAGAGCCTGGTGGGTACTGGGCCAAGACTGCACCACACTAATGGGTTTCAGTGATGTTCATATAAGGGAGTTGCAAGAAAACTGAGACCTAATTCCCACCATCTTGAACACGGCACTGATTCATAGGGGTTTGTGCATTGCTGGATCACCTGCAAATGGCATGATGGAAGCACTAGGCCCAAACTGGAATGCTTCAGACCAAGAGCTTGTTAAAGATGGATAAAAATACCCAGGATCTGGTATAGCCTGACTTTAGCCACAATCTGGCAAGCTGTTTTACCTGGGCAGGTTTCTGTGCCCAAGTGGAGGCCCACTGAAATCACTGGAGCCCTGTACAGGTACAAGGGTCAGCTTATACGAAGTAGCTTGCACACCTAGGGCCCTTCTTGAAACCAAAGTGGATGACGTGTACAAAGACAGAAATCCTGGTGTGGGCTTGGGACAACAGGGCTTAACTTAGTGGGTAGTGGGATACATGGTCATAGTGCAGAGACAAGCCTGGGGAATTAGGCTGCTGGCACCCAGTAGCACAGAGCTGATTGAATACAACAGATTGAGCTTTCACAACTGGACAGACAGGCACCAGATATTTCAATGGAATATTAACAGTTTTGCTCCTAATCATTTCCAAACCTTCCAGCTCAGGCACACTCAGCATGACACGTATTTTGGCCCTAGTTAATTATTTTCTATTTTTACGTGATGCCATCTAAGAAAAAGCTGAATGCTTTGTTGGAAATTTCAGTCTGTTTTAAATTCTCTTTAATTATTTAATCTTTGGTCTCTTTCTTGAAACATCTACCATTTAAAAAGCAAATACAAGTCTCTTAGAAATGTTTATTTCTTCCCACTTCATGTGGTATTTTCCCGCAGAAAATCAACCGTCTTGAGATCAAGAATGGCTCTTATTCAGTCCTGTACTAGTGACAGGTGAAAGGTGCAATATCTCATGCTGCTGTTGAGCTAGAAATGGGAACTTTATGGCAGCTGAAAAGGGGTGGAGGGTCCCTATCTTTCCTATCAGATAACATTTGCTTCTAGCCTGGAAGGCCCTGAGATCTGATGCTGTGACATTTATATGTATAGAAAACCTTTTTTATCTGTTGCTACAGTTGTATTACTTTTAAGTTTTCTTTTTTTCTGATACTTGTGTAGCTGGACTCATGAAAACCAAAACACTTGGTTTAGCGCCGTAACGTTTAAAAAATCACCAGGCAAAATTTTGAGACTCTCTAAAATATCTCTAATATTAGCTATCATGAAGTTAGGAACCATGTACTTAAAAGTCCATGTGTTTGGGGTACAGCCACTTTAAAAGGTCTAAAAGCTCACTTAAGTTTTCACTCATTTTAACTATATAAAGGGTGAGTCAGGGAGACAAAATCACTTGCAATCTGGTAACCAGAGGCCAGAACAGCTGCTGGTTTGCTGAGGACTGTATCTATGAAGAATTTGTTTAATGCAGGGAAGAAGAAGTGAGATATCTGTTGAGAGCTGTTTAGGACTGTTGAGAGACTGATGGTGGGGTCCACCTAGCAGAATGGAAAGGTTGTTGGCGTATAGTAACCTGGAAAAGACAGTCGAGTTTGACTGAATGGCATGTGAGCTGCTGTGATGCCTGGGATGACCGTAGGGTTGGAAGATGCTCCATATGACTCCACTAGTCATGCTACTGAAGTGAGTATAGCATAGTATAATTTAACCCATGTTTAATTTAGTTTGACGTATGGTCTGGAAGGTCACAGCAGCAAGTGCAGAACTAGGCTGATGACTAGGAACCTCTTCCACAACTGATGGGACATAAATGAGGACAAGGGTGCACAGGAACCCTGGTATGTTCTACTGCACCTGTAAAATGCATAGGACACACTGGATACCTAAGGTGTGAAAATGGATTTATTAACAAAAAATAAAGACCTTAAAGAATTATGCAGCCGTCCCACTAGATTGGGACTCGGGAATTCTGTGTTCCACACTAGTTTTTTCCACCAATGATCACTTGTGCTACTGTGTCTGCTTCACTTTTCAATGGTGCCAATCCAGCAAAACACAATTTCAGCGTGCGATTAAGATTTTTTCTATATTTAGCAGAGGCCAGTTATACCAGTGCAATTTGTAACAAAGTCAGTGAAAATTGCTTTTAATAATATAATTTTGATCTTCTTTGTGCCTCTCTTTCCCTGACTGTACTGCATCATTTGGAACAAGTCAGTTTTTCCTTCCTGCAAAGGAAAAAAAATGGATTCTTTCCATGTTTTTGCTTTCTTATTATGTATAACAAGGGGTTGGAACTTAGCTGTGTTGTGGGTGTTGCATTTAAGGGATTTCCTTTCCTTTTCTTTGGATTAGAAATTCAAATTTCTTCCACTCTCAAAGGCTCTGTAATTACTAGAGAATTAGTAAAATGATGATATGGTAAAAGCCAAGACTGAAAGCAAAGCAACTGGAAAGGGGCTGTTAAAATTCTGTTTTAACAGTATTTTGTGTGTGTGTGCACGCGCGCACGGTTGGTTGTTTTTTAGCATATACACTCTTCAGTGACAAATGGATTGCAAAACAATGCTACTTCTTCTGAAAAGACACAGTGCACATACCAATAGGCACGAAGACATCCAATAAAGTCCTCAAGCAAAACCAGACTTGACATTCCTGCCATTTCTAAGGTAAAAACCAAGTCCAATGTTTTTATTAACTAGACTTTGCAGATTATCTTTAAGGACAGATTAACTTCTCTGTGTTACTGGAACAGTTTTGATGTAGGTCAGCATAGGTTGCATTAGTATCATTGAAAGATTGATTTTTTTTATGTCCTCTTCTCTCAAGACAGCAGTGCTGTAACTATAAAAAAAAAAAAAAAATCCAGATGAAATCATAGCATTCAGGAGGCGCACTCTTGGCACAAAAGAGAATCAACAGGACAGACCCCACTGACGTTGATATTTACCCGAATTAATTCTGTTTCTGCTTATTGTCTTTTGATATTTGGAAAGGGATCTTTCACCAAACTGGAGAAAGAGAATTAAAATAAGATATTTAACCACCTCTTGATATTTATAGTGATCATTGCATTGATTCTTTTTTAATCCAATCCAGCAGGATAAAAAACTACTAGCACTGCCTCTGTCCCGTGGTAGTCTCCAGAGAATGAGTTGCAGGCCATTTATTCGGATGGCAGAGAAGAAATGAAAATGGGCAGAAACAGTAACAAGACCTGATCTGAAATAAATCATCCAGAAGTAAACAAGGCAAAAACTAACTGGAGATGGCCATGACTTTAGGTGGCAATCGCAACTCCTTAAGGCAAAAAATTGTAGACATATTGTAGGCAAATTATCCATTAAAGAGCTTACTTTCCTTGGAAGGATATTGCCTCCTAGCAACAGTAGAGGTAAGTAGCATATACCTGTATGTGGTATTTTTAAGATGCTACTTTCTCTCCTTAAAACCAAGTTCTTGGAAATGAAGCATAATTTGAATGGAAAAAAAATCTTGTTCTCTAAAACATGTAGCAGTGCTGAGAGATGGAAACCTCTTCCTGTCCCCGATCAACCAGAGGATGGTAACTATGCATAAGCTGTTACTATGGCAGTAATATAGGGTTGGAGTGGAAGATGGGAAGTACACTGTAATCTGTATTGCCATGGCAATTCATACAGAATATCTGTGCAGTGAACATGCATATTTCATGATGCTTGTGAAATTTCCAGCTTATGTAGGGGAACCCAAGATTTGGTCTGGTATCTGATGGTGTCTCTGAATGACTGACACTCAAAAATCTTACGGGTATAGGATGAGTATCCCCCATAATCTTTAAAAGTACATCTTTACAGGAGATGCAAGTTACTACTGTGTTTTTAGCTGTGAGTGGCTTCAAGTGACTGGTACCTGATCTATTTAATTTGGGGGTAGATAAAGCTAACCCAGGTATATCATTCACCTAAGCAAACAAATGGGTGTTCTGTACTGTGAATTAAAGTGACCTACAATCACATTACTTACTCTAACAGCTGTATGAACAGACCTACAGCAAGACATCTCTTTATCTTTTGTAATTAAGAGGTTTTCCATCATTCTTTCATGTTTGTATTCTCTGTGATGTTTAGCATACTGTGAGAACCTTGTGGCAAGCAAAACAATTCAGCTCACATTTGGGAATGGCATATAAACTCTGCATACTGCCCCAGGGCTTGGGCCTGAAGGAATGTCAGTTTTGCAGAGCTGATTGTACATGAAGAAGTGAAGTCAGAAATGTGAGGAACCTGTTGACACCACTAAATGAGAGAATAGATGAGGGTTATTAGGCTGCTAAATATAGCATTAGGAGATAGATGTAGGGGGAAAATGATACCAAATGAGAAGGATGATAATTTACACTCATTTTGCACAGGTGTAAATAACTACATGAGCACTGTTCTAGTCTGGTGCTGCCATTAGACTCCCCAGTTGAAAGGCCAGATAATCTCCCAGTGACAACCAGTGCAGCTGAACTAGAATAGAGGAGAAAGAATGCATGCTGTAACCTTTCAAAGATCCCCTGGAAAAATTCTGACTGTTCTGACACAGCTAGTATCTTCCTTGGGTACCTGCTATTCTTCCTCAATCCCCACAGTGCCTGATTGGAGCCTCAGCCTGGTCTTAACATTGAGGTTAGTCACAACAGGTGAAGAATAAACTGCTGTAAACCTTCCTGGAGCATGCACATAGCAAACAGTTGCTATGTGCCAGATTATTTCTAAGAAAGAAAGAATAGATTTTTCAGATAAAATACACTGACGTTACAAAGCCTGTATAAATAGGCCATCTGAATAGATTGAGTTTGTACACAAATGCACAGTAGTGTAACTAAGGCAGAGTGACCAGGGAGTAGTAGCCTCATTTGCTGATTTGTGGGGGAAAGGGGAAGACAGATGCAAAAATAATAGCTGCTACTGCTGCTGGCTGGATGTGCTGCAGCTGGCAGCCGTAGCTGCCCTATGCATTGCTGCTGCCCATGGGGCACGGATGCCATGTTGTGCCCCTGCAAATGCACCTTATGTTTCAGCCAGAAACATGGAACTGGTTTGTGAGCTTCCAGTCAGGATAAAGTTGGGCAGTGTTTTTTAGGACTTCTTTACTTTCTGTTGCTACATAAAGGGAAACAAGATGCATCTTCCCTCCAGTGGAGTGCATTTTGCAGTCTCACTGAAGTGCATGTTGTTGTGCAGGTGTAGCTTCAAGACAAAAAATGTTGCATTGCCTATTTGTTCACATTTCTTCCACTACATACAAAAAAATTAAATCACTCTGAATAGCTTCCTCCAGCTTTTGATCTAAACATCCTCTCATATTCATCTCTCTGCTCATGTATCACCTTAGGATCTTTGGAGGACATCTTCATATAATAATAATAATAAGAAGAAAACTGATGACAACATCTGAGTCTTTTATATAACACTTGTCACCAGTAGATTTCAAAGCATTTAATAAAGGAGAAATATTCCATTATCCCTACTTCACAGATGGGAAAACTAAAACACAGAGGCATTTAAGTG